CCCCCCAGTGCCTGTCTCGGGCACAGTGTTTCCTGGGCTGGTCCCTACAAATGACTCATATCCATGACTTGAATACTTGAACAGGGCAGTCTCACCCAATGTGGGGTTCTGCTAATGAGCAACTTTGGCTTAGGAGCTCTCCATCAGCCTGGTCCAGACTTTCTCAGAACTGTGCTGGAGTCTCAAGCTCTTCCTTCCCAATCTTTCCTTCCCTCTCTCCTTTCACAGGTTTCAGACCCACATCATGGTGAAAGGGTCTTCCTGCCTCCTGCTCCCTCACCCTGCATCCTCCACAGGTATCTCCCCTAATAAAGGAACATCTAGCCCCCTCTTGCAGCCTGTGTTCCAGAGGACCTAAGCTGACACCCCAGCTCACAAAGGACTTGTAGCACAAGCCAAAACCAGCCCTTTGTTGCTTCTTTCTGCTGCAGCATAACCTAGCGTCCTTCACTCATTCACTCCTTTATTCAGCCACTCAACCTGTACTCATAAGCAGGGATTTGTCCCCCGTCACCTGTTCATTGATGCCACACCCACATCTGCACGTGCCAGTTATATACACTGGCCTTCAATGCATAGACTCCCCTTGGTAGCCCAGGTTCCTGACAAGTGGGAGCCCCATTTGCCCTACCCCAGCCCTTTCTAACATCTTTGGGACGTGGTAGGGAGTGACTCATGGGCCTGACTCAGCTGACTGGAGCCCAGGACATCTTTCCTCTGAGACAAACCCACCCTAGTGAAAACCTGAGCAGAGCCAGCCCAGTCCCAGGCAGCAAAGGGGCCCTGGTTCATGTTGGGAACGGAGCAAACAGCTTTAGAAACCAGACACAGAGGGGTGGCAGCCATGCAATCAGCCCCTCATTCCCCACTTTCCTGCTGTAAGGGCTGGGATCATCTGCCGTCTCACCACACACACCTGTGGCTTCATTTCCAACCTCATTAGCCCACAAGGTGAGCTTTTTATAGGATAGGTGTTTGGGAATTCAGCCACCTTCCCAAGGCCCATGGGATCCCGATCCCCTCTCTTTCTGCCACCCTTTCCTGGATGTTCCCTAAAAGGTCCATTCATATCTCATCAAGAATATGGATAGCTCCACGTCACCTTAAGGAGAAAGCTTGAACTGCTCAGCCTGATATTTCATAAACTTCCTCAGCCTAACTCCAGCCAGCTCACCTCCTGCTTCCCCTGTCTCGCTCCCACAACACGCACACACACAAACACGCCCCTATGACCGTCCACGTGCCCCAGCTGCTTCCCTTCACCGAGGGAGCCTTTCACGATGATGACCTTGATTGTTCCTTTCGTCTGCCTGAAGCACCTTCCCGCTGCTCCTCCGCTGACAGCGCCTACATTATTCCTAGGAACTCCAGTCAAGGGTCTCCTTCCTTGTGACCCCTGACTCAGCTGTCCTGAAGTGAGTTCTTAGGTGTCTGACTTCCGTGGAGTACGGCCGGTGCTGGAACAGTCCCTGCTTACCTGCCAGGCTCCCCCGTAGACCCGGGTGCTGAGAAGGAGCTGTGGACTTGATTCAGCTGAATTTGACATTGAACCACAGTCCTGCTACCTTCAGAAAGTTAACCAACTTCTTTGAGTCCCTGTTTCTACATCTATAAAGTAAAAATAATTCTTCTAACCATCTCTTAGAGTGGTTGTGAGGACTGAAAAAGATAAACAGCATATGATCCTGTCCTGGCCCTGCACTGAGGTGTGCATATCCGCAGTCACAGGACATGGCTGGAAGGACATCTACTGCAGTGCTAACAGCACTTGTCTCTGGGTGGATGAGATTTATGGGGATCATTTCTGCCTTTGTCTTCCCTGGCGGTGTTTTCCATATATGCATTTTAAATAACAAGCATGAACTGCTTCCGTAATGAGAAAAAAAAATGTATTTCAGTGGGGAAAATGAACACATGAACGCCCCTGGCTGGGTCCAGGTTACCTGCCTGCGGGAGGGCCGTGGGCTCCTTTTTTGTCTTTGTGCATCTCAGCACCTGAGGCTGGCACATCGTGGCTGGAACCCAGTGGCACCGATGAACTCAGCTAGTCCCACTTCCTCACTTAGGAGATTGGGAGCCTGAGGACCAGAGAGGGAGAGAGACTTGGCAAAGCCACATATGAAAGGAGTCTCTGAGCAAGAGCCAAGCCCCAGGCCTCCAGCCTCCTGGCCCAGGCTCTTCTCCCACTGGCAGGCCAGCAGGTGGCGACAGGACGGACGGGAGCCCGTCAGCCCCTTGCTTCTGCCACACCTGCTCTCTAGGTTGGATCACCAGGCCCAGCCCCACTCCCCAGCTCTACTAACCCTGCCTGAAGGTGGGGCTGGCTTTAGCTCTAGAGTGATTACAGCCACTGCCCCAGAAATCTCATGTCAAAGATCGTAAGACCCACAGAGGTGTTGGAGCATATGCACCAATGGACAAGACTGCTACGCTGGGCGGAGTCTCGTGTCTCGGGACTGGAGACTCCTGAGACAGGAAGGCCACCGCACCACAGGGCAGAGTGAAAGGGGATGCAGCTCACAGGCTTGGACCTGCTTCCTGCTGCTCCCACCGCTGCCCGCCCCTCTTCCTCCTCTTTCCCTTCCTCCTGCTCCTTCTCCTCCTCACTTCTGAATTACCCTCAAGAGGACCCATTTAAAATAAAAGCCAGTTTCATAAAAGTCACAGGGCTATCCACGCTGGACAGTGACATTGAAGTTTCAAGGGCAGCAGATCGAGCTCTCCAGCTCCACTGAAACAGGGTGGCTGGGGGCTCTCACCTCAAGTCCCTAATCCCCCTTGCATGACAAAGCCCAAATAAAACATCAAGAATTCCTGGCATTTTTGAGATTAGGGCCTGCTTGGATTCTCTATTTTTTCAACCCTAAGAAAATGGAGCCCTTTTAACATCAAGAAACCCCTCATGTCAAATCTATGTAATGGAAGATGGAGGGGCTGGGAGGAGAGTGCTGGAGCAGGTGGGGGAGTTTCTGTGACACCTGGGTCTTGAGGTTGGATATGAAGGCCACATCTCTGGGTATTACCTGTGCGTGACCATGCCCCAATGGCCTTTTGATTTACAGTACTGTATATCTCTCATGTAGTTTGCCCAAGCCCCAGAGTCGAGCCCACGGCACTAGGGGCCCTTGGTATTCTTCCTGGAGGCTTCAACTTGTCCAGAGTCAGCCATGGAGAGCACCTGCCCCACAGGCCTGCAGAAAGAACCCGGGCAGGCTGGAGAGGTTTCCCGTCAGACAGCAGGTGTCTCTCAAGCAGGGAGCATTCTATGTAGAATCCTTCTCTTTTCTCTAAAAGAAAAAGAAAGAAAACAAGGCAAAGGAAGAGCATGAACTTAAGCAAGTGAGGGACTAAACTGTGTCCCCTAAAATTTATATGTGGAAGTCCTAGCCCAATACTTCAGAATATTTGTTTTAAAGAGTTAATGAAGTTAAAGTGAGGCCTTCAGGGTAAGCCCTAATCCGATACGACTGGTGTTCCTATTTAAAAAAAAGAAGATTAGAACACAAACATGCACAGAGAAAGACCACGTGAAAACACAGGGAGAAGGCAGCCACCTACAAGCCATGGAGAGAGACCGCAGAATAGACCAACCCAGCCAGTGCTGTGGATCTCGAGCCGCCAGAACTGTGAGACAATATACGTAAGTGATCTAGTCTGTGGTACTCGTAACAGCAGCTCCAGCTAACACGAGAGCTGAAGTTCAGTGTCACTTAACGAGGGACAAGTCATGACTTCCTCATAACTCTGGTGAGCACTTTTTCCTTCATGGGCCTCTTCCTCCATAAATATACAATTATAATAATAATTATTATCGTCGATATTATTTTACAACTGCACTGTCATAAAAATGAACATATTACTGTGATATATCAAAAATTTTTTTCAACTTAAAAGTTTCTCTTTTTTCTTCTGATTTTATTTTATGCTTTAATTTTTTTTATTGTAACATAGTTGATTGTACATATCTGTGGGTTAGAGTTGAATAATTAATACCTGTGCAATATGTCATGCTCAAATCAGGATAATTAGCCTGTGCAATATGTCATGCTCAAATCAGGATAATTAGTATATTCAAAATTATACAACGTAACCATTTTTCTTAGCCCTTTACCAATTCCTCCCATACCCCTTCTCCCCTTCTTCTGATTTTAAAAGAAATGAGGACATTTTTGTGGGTGCCTGAGAGCCCACTGTGCCTGCTGGAGCAATCAACCCTGCACGTGCTTCCTGAAGCACCCATTGCTGAGTCCACACCACGGGGCGTGGTAAGACCCAGCTCGACAGTTCTGAGAGTCGAGAGCTGAGCTCTTGTGGGAAGGAGACTGTCCTGGTGTGGGTGGCCAGCATCGGCCCCTAAACCTTGGCTGAGTAAATAAACTGTACCCCTCTCCACGGCTGCACTGGGGTCCCAGCCTGCCTCCTGCTTCCTCACCGGTGACCTGGAGTTGGAGAAGCAAGCTTTGTGTGGCTATCTGGCTGCCTCTCAGATGGTTTCAAAGGGCTTTTCCTCTGGGGCACAGCAGACAAAGCCAACAGGGAAAATAAATGCTGCTCTGCACTCTGTCTCCTCCACTCCCCTGCCCTGACCCCATCCGCTTCTCCCACAAATCCCAGATTTGTGGATTCCAGAGCACTGGAAGAGAGGAGGCCTCTGTATTTCCTCTGCAAAATGCACGACTGGTCAATATCAGTGGCTTAGACCTTTTTTATTCTACTGTCACAAACCCTTTTCTTCTAATGAAATCCTATGTAGGAACCTAGTGGGTAAAAAGAATGAATAGAGAGCTGTCGTGGTTGAATCAGAGGCAAAAGACTGGACCCTCCCAACCCTGCACAAACCCCGAAGTGCCTCCTTAGAAATCAAAGAATGCTAGGGGACACACTTGGAAAACCACAGATACTCTCTGGGCCCCAGAGTGGGGAGGGATGGCGTAAGTCATGCACACAGCACTCACAGGCACTGCGGGAATGTACACAGCAGTCATGGGTACAGAGGCCATGGACGAGGCAGTCATGAACATAGCAGTCATGGGCACAGCAGTCATGGACACAGCAGTCATGCACTATGGTCATGTGAAGCCCACCGGGACATTTCTGCTGAATCCATTAACAGGCAGGCGGGCAAGTCCCTGCCCCTCCATAGGAGCTTTCTGGCAAGTTAATCCCTGCATAGCTAGGACATTAAGTCATTGTTCTTCTGCCTGTAGGCTGCTCAGGTACATCTGGCTTCATTTAATCTCCCCCACTGAACAGAAACACATGTGGACCTTGGCGCTCGGCTGAGGTGGGAGTGCGTGTGTGCAGGCTTCTGGGGACGGGTGGGGGCTGACGGGCCATGAGGAAGGATCTAAGGCGTCCCTTCAAAAGTGTGTTTTTTGGCACACAAGTGTTCTGTGAGTTGTAATCAGGTACCATGGTAAGGCATCCCTTCAAAAGTGTGTTTTTTGGCACACAAGTGTTCTGTGAGTTGTAATCAGGTACCATGGGGAAAAAACATTTCCTCAGTCAAGTTGATTTGGCAAACGCTGCATTGAACCAAAGTAAGCAGAGAATTGTGGGATTTCTCAGAGACTTTGAGAGGTGACCCTAAGTAGAGAATAGAAAGTACAATGTTTCCCAAACTAACATCCTTTGCTTCCTGGAGTGTCAGAAAAGATGCCTTGGGCTGCAGGCGAACAGGAAATCGAGCTCTAAATAGGTTAAATTCTCTAGGAAGATATTAGTTCACATAATAGCAAGTCCAAAGATGGGCACCCCCTGGATTGGGCAGCCAAATAGTGCCATCAAAGCCAGACCCCGACCGTCTTTCCCCTCCGCTATCCGCAGTGTGTTTTCTTTGGGATACTTACCCTCCATGTCCTAGATGGCGGCTGCGGTTCCAGACTCCTAGGAGGACTCTACAGCGGCCCACAGCAGAAAGGAAACAGCTTCTTCCCAAACATCTGTTATAGAGTGCGCTGAACCTTACCCAGAAATCCCCCCAGACTTCCCTCCACATTTCACTGGCCAGAATTGCACTACATGCTCCTGCCTAAGCCAGCAATTGACAGCTTTAGGCCATGGTTCCCAAAATGAGGGCGGAGGCACCTCAGATTGCTGCAACAAATTCAGGGGTGCCAAAGGATATTTTAAATTTTCAAGGGAAACTCAGCAGTGCTGGATGCCTGTTGGACACCACATGATCTACCAGCTCAAGTTTCTCCAGAATTTCAACATCAGATCACACTGCATTCCTGTGATCATACCACATCTCTCAGAAGTTTTTGGTGGCTGCTGCAATAAAAAACAAGTATTGAACGAAAATCGGTGTAAAATGGAAGATGAGGAAAGTGTCCAGTCGACAACCACAGTTTGAGATGTTGAGCGGTGCCAGTAGGTGCACATTTCCCATTAGTAAGTAATTAATTGTAGCTATTTAATAATAAATTAGATCTATTGTACAACATGGCGACTATAGTCAATAAGTGTATTGCATACTTGAAAATCTCTGAGTATATTTTAAGTGTTCTCACCACAAAAAAAATAACTATGTGAGGTAATGAATATGTTAATTGTTTAGCCACAATGAATAGATAGATCAAAACATCATGTGGTACATCATGAATATATAATTTTTGTCCATTTTAAAGCATAAATAAATAAAAGTGCTACTTACTTGTCAAAAAAAATAAAACAAGTTTCTAAAACTTAAAAAAGAATAAATTAAACATCTTACTTTTTCTTTTAGTACGTGTATATTGTTTTTGTAATTGGCTAATGAATTGTTAGGGCAGAAATACTAAGTTGTTTGAGGCTAACTCGGCAGAAATGTAGGTATTTATTTTAGCTTAGGAGAGCTGTGCAAAAAAAATGACTGAGACCACGGGCCCTGCGAACAGAGAAGGCTGGGAGCTTCTGACTTCGACTGGTCTTGGTTTACCTCTTGGGGCAGGAGCTGGGGAGGGAGCCTGCCTTGTCTGAAGTCCATGCAAGGTGCTTTTCTGGATAAACTCTTATAAGGAAAGGAGGAAACGCTTTGGGAAAGATAGCTGATGGCGGCTGCCAAGTGAGGGAAGTGGGGTTTAGCAGAGCGCACTTCCAGAACTGCCGGCCCCAGCGACACTTCTGTTTCTCTCTCCCTCCCTCCGTTTATCCTCTCTTGGGATTTGGTGATTTCCGCCCCCACCGCCCACCCTCCCAATGCCTGTGTTGTCTGGGAATGTCCCTGGGGCAAGTGATTTGTGCAATTCACATCCCCAGTCCTTTGTCTTCACCATCTCCGCTCTACTCTGCCCACCTCTCTCATGCACCAGAGACCGATGGAGACCTGGAAGCCCCCAGACATTCACAGACACCAGCTTCCATCTTCCCAGCAGGCCTGGGCCAGGCACCCGTGCTCAGAGAGAGGCCACACAGCAGCCTGCACTGCCCAGATTCCTGCCTGGGCTAGTAAAGTGTGGGGCGTCCGCCAGGGCTCCCCTCCACCTCCTGCGTCAGATCCCGCCTGACCACAAATGAGCACCCCTCAGTGGTGGGGCCGGTCTCAGCCTCACCCTGGCCCTGCTGCTTGCTTCTCCACGCCACTGCTCCCCAGTCCCAGCATGCTCAGGAGCGTGGCACCAGCAGCTTCCACAACCTGAGAGGTGCTGTACACCCTGCCTCCCTCTCATCCTAAAACAGCTCCTGCCCTACCCGATGCCATTCACTTACCTTCACACTGCTGTGTCATTGTCATCTCAATGTGAAACAATCTTGGGTATTTCTTTTTTGCTTGTCTTTTGTCTGTCTGCTCTAGTAGACAGGGTGCATCCTGCAGCCAGAGCCCCTGTCTAGTTCCCTGCTGTTTCCCAGTTCCAGGAGCAGTGCCTGGTGCTTAGACAACACCTATCAGTACTTGTTCAATGAGTGACCAGTGCTCACAATGGCCCTAGCAGGTAGCAGTCA